TCTGATGCACTAACTCTGCAGCAGCACTTCTTCGTCGTCTCGTCTGATGCACTCAACCAAGCGTTCTAACCACGACCTCGTCCCTCCCCACCCCCCAACCATTCGAATTTGCGTAGGCGGGAATTATTTTAATGATATTCTAATGGGCCTCTTTGTGATATCACAAAACCCGGAAAACAAACGCTGTAGTCCAAACGAGCCGTTCGTTGTAGTTCTTGAAAAGGGATTTTTTACGAAATATCTCCCTTTGGAGTGGATTTTGAGATTTGTAAGTTTGAAGATTTTTTTTTATGCCCAAACATACACACTGACTAAAATTCAAAAAGTGAAAAAGCATAATAGCCCCACCTACTGGCAACAGGAAATGACTTGTTTCACACTAAGTTAAACATGCAATGTCCGACCTGCCCCAAACTTCAAACGTTTTATAAGAGTCCTGGCCTGAACACATCTTAAGGGCAATATTCATTTATAGTCATAGCGCCATCTACTGGCAACAGGAAATGACTTGTTTCACACTAACTTAAACATGCAATGTCCGATCTGCCCCAAACTTCACACGCTTTATAAGAGTCCTGGCCTGAACACATCTTAAGGGCGATATTCATTTATAGTCATAGCACCACCTGCTGGCAACAGGAAATTACTTGTTTTACACTAACTTTAACATACAATGTCCGATCTACCCCAAACTTCACGTTTGATAAGAGTCCTGGCCTGAAGACATCTAGTGAAGTGACGTGTGGCCAAGTATGGTGTCCCATACTCGGAATTTGTGCTCTGCATTTAACCCATCCAAGTGCACACACACAGTAGTGAACACACACACACTGTGAACAGACACCCGGAGCAGTGCCAATGTTCACATGCCAATATTCAGTTATAATCATAGCGCAACCTGTTGGCAGCAGGAAATTTGGCACATATAAATGACTTTGACATATTCCTCCTATATTTACCACTTTAAAAGCATATTGCCCGCTGTTCACTGTTTTCCTATGGCCACCGGGTGGCGGTGAGCCCGGGTGCGAGGGCCCTTTCATCGCTGCTTGCAGCTTTAATTAATGTTTGTACTTTATGGAACCATGATGTTTCATACATGTTGAGCTTGGTTAATAATGAAATGTAATCATATAAAGAGTTCAAATGACTTTACTTTTAAAATGTTTTTTCTTGTCTTTTTTTTGAGTACTTGGCTCTTTGATTGTTCATTGACTCATGAGTGTGTTTTGTGTTTTTCAGGTAGAGGATGCCATGCTAATGTTTGACAAAACTACGAACAGACATAGAGGTAAGACCATTAGATCTCTTTAAGTAATAATGCAAAATATATGTCAGTATCCTCTAATGTTGTGCATGATGCACAGAGCTGTGTGAGAGACATTTACTGACATTGTTGTGGTGATCTTGGTGTAATTTTTTACATGAATTCTGTTTTGTACACTTCCATTCAAAATTGAGTGTTTTTTTTTTTTTTTTGTAAAGCTCTTCTGCTCAACCAAAGCTGCATTTATTTGATCAAAATACAGTAAAAACAGCAATATTGTGAAATATCTAAATAATATTGTGATCTAACAAAATATTTAAAATAACCATTTTCTATTTTTATATATTTTAAAATGTAATTTATTCGTGTGTTGGCAGAGCTGAATTTTCTGCAGCCATTACTCCACTCTTTATAGTCACATGATCCTTTAGAAATCATTCCAATATGCTGATTTGGTGCTCAAAAAAAAAAAACATTTCTTATTACCAACGTTTGCAAACAGTTGTGCTGCTTAATATTTTTCTGAAAACTCTGCTGTTTTTTGTTTTTTTACATGTGTTTCATTCTTTGATGAATATAAAATTCAAAAGTATTAAAATGACAATTTATTTGAAATACAAAATCTTTTGTAATATCACAAATGTCTTTACTGTCACTTTCGATCAATTTAATGCATGCTTGCTGAAAAAAAAGTATTTTCTTAAAAAAAAAAAAATACTAACCCTACTAAAATACTTAATAGTAAAATACTTTTGAATGTTAGTCCTGAGGTTTTAACAAATTAAATGTCTTTATTAATTCATTATCACATTAATAAGCAGATGAAAAAAAACGTATTTTCACTCCTGGTACGTAGATGCCAGCCACAAAATGTAGGTTAAAAATTGACGAATCAGTGAACAAAAACACTTTTTCAGTCTCTTTTTTTTTATTTTATTTTTTTTATATAAAAGTTCTTCATTTTAAGATTTTACATTTGTAATCATTACAAATGTGAGGATTGATGGTGCACTATACCGTGTCATGCCAATAAAGCATGGCGAAATATTAAATACAGTAATTTGTATTTACTTGAGAAAGGGAGTACAGTACAGAACATTTCAGAGAGAGAAAAAAAGAGAGATATAGAGAGAGTAAATGTGTGTGATTTTTAGATTGCAAGAGTGCATATCCCTCACACACACATACTTTCACACTACTGACTCCTTTCTCTCTCGTGTCCTTCATGCCCTCCAGGTGACTGTTAAACTGGTGTTAAAAGACGCTCTTTATCCGCCTCCATTCTTTCTCCCCCTCTTTCCCTCTCTCTCTCTTACACTCTCTCTCTCCTTTCACTAAAGAGACTGCAGCAGAATCTCTCTGGCATTTTCAGTCTGAAATGAGGATGATTGTGTTGGAAATTGAGCTCCAAAGCTCCATCAGTCCTGCTGCCCCAGTGCATTGTGGGAACGTGCATTGGCTCTCCTGTGGGCGCATGGATCAGGGATGTTATTCAGACATTGAAGGGGTTTTGTGGCAGGATTTCATGCTGTTAATTACAGATGTAATGGTGTGATTTTCATCAGGGCTCTGCTGGTTGCTTTTGTGAGCTGTTTGTGTGCCGTTACAGTGAATACCCAAAGGCCATATAGCCCTCGCTCTGCCAGAACACACACTGTGTTTGCAATAACATGCCGTCATACCAACTTAATTTATAGCATGTTATTTTTACAATTGTATATGATATCGTTCACATTGTGAAACAATGAATGTTTTGGTAGGGTTGTTGCGTTTTTCATAAGAATACAGTCAGGGTTTCGGTTTAATGTTCAATAGAAAAATACTTTTTCAGCTACACTTAACAGTAATCTTGAAACTTGTGACAATATGTGTGAAGAGATGTACATTTCCTGTGGAAGTCAGACAGCTGTTAATAACAAAACATCTTTAAATAATGGAAGTTCTTATGTTTTTGAATACATATTTTGAGATGGCATTCTGAGATGTATGCTAAAACCTGAAATGGTAATTTGGAGACTTTTGCATTGTGGGAAAAATTGGTTTATGGATGGATGAATAGGTATGTACAGTAGATGGATGGATGGATATAGATATACAGGTGGATAGATGGATGGATATTTATAGAGACAGATTATAGTTGTATGGATGGATAGACAGACGGATGGATGTATGGATGGATAGATAGATTAATGAATGATATATAGATAGATGGACAGATTTATGAATGGATGGATCAGACAGTTGGATAGATAGACCATAGACAGACAGATAGGTAGTTGGGTAAATGGATAGATGGATAGGTACAGTAGATGGATAGATAGACGGTTGGATAGTTGGTTGTGATAAAAAGAGAGAAAATGGCCAACACGTGAAATGTATTCTGACCAAAATCATTTGGATGCATATCATGTAATTTATAATTTCCAAACTGTAAAGTAAGGAGTTCCCAAGAGGACTTGAAGGCAGCATCTCTCTCTGGTCCTCTGTTTACTGCAGTAATTCACATATTTCAGTGTGGCATCTGTAATCCAAACCCTCATTTCCCTGTCAAACACTCTGCTACCATCTGACAGAAGGTGGTTTTGACCTGATGTTGGCGAGAGGTGGTTTAGTCTAGGTTTTTATTTCGACTCTGCGTGTAGGAGGACAAGTTTTAAAGTGGTGCTGACGGAGAAAGCTCAGTTCCCATTATTCTGCATTAAATGTTACACACATTAACATTTTCGTTTGCATCGCAACCACATTTGTTCATCTGTCTCGAGCACATTTTTCTCAAAGAATACATTTGTTCTCATCGCAATAAAAGGCGCAGTAGCGCAGTCACACCTGTAATTCCCATGGCAGAAGTTCTGCTGCTTTTGCTCACCCAATTTCCCTGAATATAAAAGTCTGCCGGGATGATGAAAGCCGGTGTAACGTCACGGATGCTGATGGTCCTGCTCAACAGGCTTCCGAACGAGTGTCTGATTACAGCTGGAACTTTGTGATTTTTCAAATGATGTAAGTAAAAGTAACAGCGTCTCGGTTTGATCAACAGAGAGCATGAATTATGACTTTTATTGTTGAGAGGCATAGAGAAAAGAAAGGAAGAGAGAGGAGCAGGTGGTGGGCTGAGTTAGGAATTTTTGGCCATGGACGCAGTTTTGTTTTGTGTGTGTTTCCTGGATGCTCCAGAGAACCGGATTGTTCCTGGAAGACGAACAGAAGGTGGTATTGTGTGAGTCTGTAATCTCCTTACCTGGATCGGCGTTCCCTGGACTCAACACAGTCCCCAACCTCTGTGTGTGTGTGTGTGTGTGTGTGTCTGTCTGTCTGTCTGTTTGAGTCTGATAACTTTGTGGCATATTACAGTATTTATTTGTGCATGAGTGCTTTGTTAGTTGTCATTGATATTCTGTTTTCATTTGGACTGATTGTAGAGAACAAGATCCACAATCAAGAGCAGGATGTTTTCAGCTCTGTCATTTATCAGAAACAATCTCTCTTTCTTTCTTCATCTCTCTTGCTGTCTTACCATCTCTAAAATCTTCAAATATAACATATTCATCAAACATATACAGTGGGTATAAAAAGTCTACACACTTCTGTTAAAAGTGCAGCTTTCTGAGATGTAAAAATGAATTTAAGTACAATCACGTCAGACCTTTTCCCACCTTTAATGTAATAATGAAATCATGCTATCAATGCTACCAATTCAAATTAAATCATGTTCATTAAAAATACTTTGTTATTATTACGTCAATAAATATTACTATATATTTTGCAAATATTTTTTAATAAGCCCAAAATTGTTAAATAATATTAAAGGGGTCATATGATGTTGCTAAAAATAACATTATTTTGTGTATTTGGTGTAATGAAATGCATTTATGCGGTTTAAGGTTAAAAAAACACATTATTTTCCACATACTGAACATTATTGTTTCTCCTCTATGCCCCGCCTTTATGAAACGCGTCGATTTTTACAAAGCTCATCGGTCTGAAAAAGCGAGGTGTGCTCTGATTGGCCAGCTATCCAGTGCGTTGTGATTGGCCGAATACCTCAAGCGTGAGACGGAAATGTTACGCCCCTCACATACCGTGTCCGGCCGGAGCGACGAGACAAAAACATTAAACCCCATTACAAACGAGGCATTTGTTGCATCAGTGGGGACATAATTACTGATTATAATGACTGATACTGTCTTTTTACGCGTTGCGTTGCATCGCGCCGCGTAAACATAAAACCATGTCTGCATGTGTGATCGGAGAAAT